CCGAGGCCCATCAGTTGAAGAACACTGGTAAAGATAACACCACCTGCTGAGGGTTGATTGGTCTATAAAACAAAATGCCAATCCAGCTTCAAAGGCCCCTTTCTACGTTCTTCTTTTAACTCAAGTCTGAGTCCGAAGAAGCTCAGCACAGTGCACAGGCTCTGTTGCACCGGCGAACATCCTGAAATACTCTGGATAGATTTTAAACTCCAAATTTTGCCCGGGCAGCGACATTAGGCTCTCTTTTCGATTTCCAACTGCCAGTGGATTTTTTTTACGTGCGCAAGAAGCCGATCTTAATACCCAAAGACACGGGAGAATTACTAGAAGTCTAAGTCCACGTGAAAAAAAAAATCCCAGCTCTTACCGGGGCTTGAACCCAGAGCCTTTAGCACTCGAGGCGGGCACCATACCTCGAGACCACGCAGCCCCCTCAGGCCCCACCATGACTGTGTCCACTACTGGAGTTGGTTATGGGCCCCACGTACCAGTGATGGAAAAAGGATTCGTTGAAAATAAAAACAAGTTTCCTTTATGCCATAATACCAACCTGGCATGTTCTGTTTTGATGTCCCCACGCATTTCATGCCTAACTGGCATCTTCTGCTGTAGCTTCTGCTTGCGTTCACCGGCTGTAAACCCTGGCGGATAAACCTGGTTGTATGTCCATTTCTTGACTTTGGCTTTGTTCTAGTAGCTGAGTTTTCCGTATGCATCCGTTTTACAGATCTTGCCTATTTTTATGCAGACTATTGGTTCCTTGCCTCTAGGGCAAATGCACTCCGACTTTGAAGGAAGCCTGCAGTTAATCGATTCTTACGACATTATGGTTGTGGAGGCACTGTGTCTCTTCTTGTTTTCGCCCACAATGGGGCCTTAAAACAAACAACTGTTATCTTCTGTCTTGCTCTCTCCTTGAATCTCTTCCCTTCTAACTTTCCTGTTTCACGACGTGTCATCAAGCTGATAAACAGCTAAAAATATATTCTGGCCGCCGCCTGGAAACTAAACACTTGAAACTGTACAATGTAAGCCAACAGCAACGACGATCTAAGAAAATGCAATGAACCATTGGTCGTTAAACTAAAAAACAGCCATTTTGGTAACACGATCACTTACAAACGGGAATCTTTATAGTTCAACCTCCATCAACGTAAACAAGACATCGCAGCGGTTGTAACGCTAGCCTTCAACGACAAAAGAAACTATGTCCTTCTACGTGTCAACAGGTTTTGCGTGGATTCCAGAGAACTACAACATAATTCAAACTGGCAATACAAACATCAATTTTTCAACTTACAACAACTCGTCATATTATGAAAATAGATTAGTGTTATATATATATATGGGTGTTATAATGACGACAAATTAGCCTTGAAACTTTGACAGGCAAAAGAAGTGACAGGTGGTCATAAGAAAAATGTACGGAAATGAAACGAGTATCTACAAGTTTACCCAGAGACTTTTTTTTAGAAAACAAAGTGTGGGTCGTGTATTGAGAGGAAACGACTTGGAACGCAATAATGATAGAGATTGGAGAAGATTTCCGACATAACCTGGTGTACTTTTGAAAAGCCTAGAAGTTCATAAATTCATCGTCTTTTTTATTGGCGAGTCAGTCAGACAAATGCGATAGATTTTTGTAGATGTCGTTTGGGGACGTCTTTTATTATTCGCGAGAGGGTAAACAAGAGGTATGGGTTATAGAAGACAGAATATATAATAATGACCTCGCGTGTATTTCTCCCAGTCTGTTTGTACTTGCGACCAAAATATGGAATACATAAATTCGAAATTGGAAATGCTGTTCATTTCAATATTGCCTTTTGTGTAAATATTCATCATGGTGTGGCCAATTTTATGTGTTCCTATTTTACGACTTGCGAAGTTTTATTTTCGGCTCAGGTGGCAAATGAAACAGGCTGCACGGTTGTAAAAATAATACAGTTTTGGTTTAGGAAACATATGTGTTAACTGAAAGAAATGTGCTTTCCGGCAGTAGTGCCTACTGTTTTGTTTTTCACATCTGTCGATTTTTAACTGTACCCATTTAAGGCTGTTTCGGCCTGGAAGCCAAGGTCATTTTTGAAACTCCGATCTTTTTCGGATTCGAACCTACGACCTTTGGATCTGCAGACAAGCGTCTAACCGCTACATCACTGGCATATAGTAATATACCTATATTATTATAGACCAGTCGGTACTCATTATGTGATGTGATCAAATCAAATCAGCCGTCTTTACTTCCCATAACATTACCTGGTACCAATTTCAGTCTGGGTGGACATCAAAGGTAGGTAGGTGCTTTTCACCAGCATCCCTGAAGGGTGAGCTTTAGGTTATAATTGTGACTAGGTTGTGTGCGCTGTATAAAATGGCTTAGCACTGCACGCCACCAAAGGCCATGATAAGAACTCCTGCTGTGTTGATGCAATCAAAGGAGACAGACCAAATACTGTCGCGACCGGCGACTTGAGTCGTCTACCGGCGAGCCAGTGGGTGACCTGGTCGCTGATGTGGGGTCGACCTCGAGCAACAGTCAGTTTAATAATAAATCCGACTCGATCCTGATTCGAACCCCATTTATTCGGACCTGAAAGAATTAAACTACAAGACTATGAAAACTTTAAAAAAGTGGGGGAGGGAGGAAAGAGTGAGAGAGAGAGAGACAGAGAGACAGAGAGAGAGAGAGAGAGAGAGAGAGAGAGAGAGAGAGAGAGAGAGAAATTTTCTTTTTTAAATCATGCTCAAGTTACTATGGGAAAACCACGAACATCCTTTCAAGTTGTTTCCACTTTGGCGTTTATTATCTTCCGTGTTGTGTGACTAGGTTAAAGAAAAGTCACCGAGTCGTATGAATCATCAATTGTGTGCATTCAATAAAAAAAAATATAAAAAATACTGGGACATTCGTTTACCTGGAAGGATCATGTGAGGGTGGAGGGTAGGTCGGCATCCGACTTACTAAGGTTGTGGTAAAGTTTTCATATTGGTATTTTAGATAATAATAAAAAAGAACTCCACAGGGGAGCATGTACAGCAAGAGTCCACTGATGATAAGTAGAAGATCCCTCGTCGGCAACCGTTTGGGCCTATTACCTCCCTTGACATCTTCAGAGGGTGGGTCGACCTGGGTCATGACTTCCAGGCCTCGATCTTCTCCTGCTTCACTTTACCGGATATTCTCGGACAGGGACAAGACGAAATGGTGACTATGCAAAAGGTACTCTGAGATTCGAAGTTAAATATGTATAGTCGCTGCGGTGGCCAATAAGACCAGCTGGCTGCCTTGATGACCAAGTGACAAGTTTACGGCTGGTTCATCGGCCGTTAGCTGTTCTGTAATGTGTTTTTTTTTTCTTTTTTCATCTGCTGTTATTCCACAATGAAACTTAAGAGACAACAGATTAAATATTCTGAACATGTATCAAGACTACTACCAGATAGAGCCAAGTCACTTGGGCACAACGGAAGCATCCACAGAAAGGATGAGAACTGAGCGTCTGAGAAGAGACAGGCTAAGCACAAATGTTGACAACAACGATTCGAAAACATCATGCTATAATTGTGGAAGATTTCTCTGAACTCGAGGGGTTCTTTGCTAGTCACACTCGCCTTCGCCATGGGCTCCTCATAGCACAATAAAATACTATCGTCCGGAAAGACGGAAATGGGACATTCAGTCAGTAGCCCATACCAAAGCTTGCACCCGAAGTCTTTTCAAAACCTGATCCTGAAAGACAGAGCAGGACAAGAAGGGAAGGAGGAGAAGTAGAAGAATAGGAAGGAGCAGTTGAAGAAGAAGAAGAAGAAGAAGAAGAAGAAGAAGAAGAAGAAGAAGAAGAAGAAGAAGAAGAAGAAGAAGAAGAAGAAGAAGAAGAAGAAGAAGAAGAAGAAGAAGAAGAAAAAGAAGAAGAACCAGAAAAAGAAGATTTAAATTCAAAGTGAAAAGTCCACGATCAGTGCTGAAATAGACAAGGTAAAAATCCACCTAATAATAGTTATTGTCTTGCAGCGTTTCCGACCATTTTAAATTCCTGTATAATTCCTACCCGCATCCTTTTTGGCACTGGCGGGTATTTTATGTATTAATATAGCAACTCAAACAACGAAACAATTCTATGTACCGTAATTTTTATACCGCCTCTAGATAAACGGATGAAACCGGTTTCACGCAGTCATCGTGCATAATAAATGCAGGGTGGAGAACTTTAGTTGTCGTTTGTGATAAAACAGCCGGTGATCGTGTGGGTTGTATTAGGTTCTACCGCCACTGGGGGTACACATTTACAGCCCACAATATACCTGTTGCAAGTAAAATCATCATCATCATCATCATGTAACACACTGGACTCCGGTTTTTGTTTTTGTAGGTAATTTTGTATCCAAATATCAATGCGATGGTTGATTCTGTTATGTCTTGAAAATGTCTGTTATTTTTGGTTACATTTTGGGCAAGGCACGTTTAAGCTGAAAATCCGGATTGTTACTAGTATAAATGCACTCAATTTAACAATTGCTTGACACCCCCTTTAGATTTTCCTCATGCGCTCTTCCCCCCCCCCCCCCCCTACCCCAGTTGGAAACCGCTGATGTATCAGGTCCTTTGCGGAACGTCGCTCTCATCACGGTCTGCCTGAAAGAAACTCAGTCGCTCTCCTACTTTGAGTACTTTCCTAACCAGGGTGTCAATTATATAGGTGCCCATATCGTGCTGGTAATGCCCTGCCCATCTTTCCTGGTACCATGCCTTTATTTCTACCAATCCCCTGTGGCACTTGATATGGCCAAAATATTCCAGTTTCTGAGACTGGGTGCTGTTTACTAGCAAGTTGTTCTTCTCTTCTTTGTCTGTGGTAGTCTGACAATCTTCTTATTGCAGTTCAGCTCAAAGTGCCCTATTTTTTTTTTTGCAGGAAAATAATATTGTATACTTAGGCTTAAATTTAAGTGATGGTTTGTTGGGATGGCTCGTTTGTTGGGATGGCTGGTTTGTTGGGATGGCTGGTTTGTTGGGATGGTTTGTTTGTTTGGATGGCTACTTTGTTGGGATGGTTGTCTTGTTGGGATGGTTGGTTTGTTGGGACGGCTGGTTTGTTGGGATGGCTGGTTTGTTGGGATGGCTGGTTTGTTGGGATGGTTGGTTTGTTGGGACGGCTGGTTTGTTGGGATGGCTGGTTTGTTGGAATGGCTGGTTTGTTGGGATGGCTGGTTTGTTGGGATGGCTGGTTTGTTGGGATGGTTGGTTTGTTGGGACGGTTGGTTTGTTGGGACGGCTGGTTTGTTGGGATGGCTGGTTTGTTGGGATGGCTGGTTTGTTGGAATGGCTGGTTTGTTGGGATGGTTAGTTTGTTGGGATGGCTGGTTTGTTAGGATGGCTGGTTTGTTGGGATGGCTGGTTTATTGGGATGGCTGGTATGTTGGAATGGCTGGTTTGTTGGGATGGTTGGTTTGTTGGGACGGCTGGTTTGTTGGGATGGCTGGTTTGTTGGGATGGTTGGTTTGTTGGAATGGGTGGTTTGTTGTGATGGTTGGTTTGTTGGGATGGTTGGTTTGTTGGGATGGTTGGTTTGTTGGAATGGTTGGTTTGTTGGGATGGCTGGTTTGTTGGGATGGTTGGTTTGTTGGGATAGTTGGTTTCTTGGGATGGCTGGTTTGTTGGGGTGGCTGGTTTGTTGGGATGGTTGGTTTGTTGGGATGGCTGGTTTGCTGGGATGGTTGGTTTGTTGGGATGGCTGGTTTGTTGGGATTGTTGGTTTGTTAGGATGGCTGGTTTGTTGGGATGGCTGGTTTGTTGGGATGGCTGGTTTGTTGGGATGGCTGGTTTGTTGGGATGGCTGGTTTGTTGGGATGGCTGGTTTGTTGGGATGGTTGGTTTGTTGGGATGGCTGGTTTGTTGGGATGGCTGGTTTGTTGAAATGGCTGGTTTGTTGGGATGGTTGGTTTGTTGGGATGGTTGGTTTGTTGGGATGGCTGGTTTGTTGGGGTGGCTGGTTTGTTGGGATGGCTGGTTTGTTTATATGATGGCAGGTGAGGGTTGCTGATTGACTGACTGATAGTCGGTCGGAGTACGTGCATTTTTTTTTAAATTCTTTTTATCGTGGCCGAAATATTCCTGTTGTTTTAGGTCTCTTTCCTTGTCAACTCTTTTCTTTCAGTTCTTATAGAACACACGCTTTTACACACACGCATACACACAAACACACACACACGCACACATACACACACACAATGCCATCTTCTTCTTCTGCCTTTCAATCCCCCAATGGAGCATAGGCCCTCAACCAACTCACGCCAAGTCGTTCTATCCTTCGCCATTGCATGAAGCTCTCCCCATGTCCTTCCCATATTTCTAACTTCATTCTCCAGCTCTCTTCTCCATGTTTTTTTTTGTGTGTTTTGTTTGGCCTTCCTTTATTCCTATGCCCCTGTGGGTTCCAATGCAAAGACATTCGATTTATGTTGTTATCTTGTTTTCTCAGTGTGTGTCATATCCAACCCTAGCGTCTTTTCCTCACCTCTTGGTCCACTGGAGCGTGTTTAGTTCTCTCCCAAAGCTCTACAATAGTTATTCTATCATACCATTTAATTCCCTATATTCTGCGCAGGCACCAGTTAAATGTGATTGTAGTTTTAATTTTTCTACCCACTTGTCCGCTGTGGCGGCGACTTTTAAGGATTTTCCATTTTTTTTCCGTTGCACCCCAGGCTTAACGTAAAATCTCTATCCCTTCTTTAACTGCGGTCGCTGAGTTGACTGACCACTGCAGGTGGCTAAATACTTTTGATGGCCCGTGACATAAAAGGCCGCAAGCCACGGTCGTCACCGTGTGTGGTCTACGCTCAGATCGTATCGAAGGGACGCTTCAATGAGCCTCGGGTGTTGTGTACTTCCAGTTGATACAATATAACCTCTCTCTAGATAATATATCTTCCCACTTGTATTGTTGCTTATCTTTCACTCCCCTGTCTTCTTTGTTTTCCCCCATTGGTTATGATCGTTTGATATTAAAATGTCACTTCAGTAACACAGCGGACAAAAGTTAATAGCATATCCTTTACATGAAGTCGCAGAACCAAGCCCAGCATTTTTGGCTGTTGTGGTTTTTCTAGGCAAGTAGTCCAGTAGTTTGTCATTGCTTTCTGGACGGTCAGCTTCTCGATACCATTGTCGAAACCAACGCAAAGCACGAGGACTCCATGCTTGGATCGAACCCCGCATCATGGGCATTATGGAGCGCGTTCGCAACGCATAAACCACAAAAGCTGACGTCGGTTAGCTAACTAATTAAAAAAACAAAAAATTTTTTTATTTTTTCTTAGCGTTTACCGGCTGTAAAACGCCGGCGGAAAGTTCTGGTTATTCGTCCACTTCTGAACTTTAGTCTCGTTCCAGAACTTGAGTTAAATAAACTTTTGTTTTATAAGTGCCGATCAATACACCATATGTTACATGATTAATTCAGAACTTGAGTTAGGTGTGCACATCTGCGTTACTTATCTGGCTTTTTTTTTAAATATATATATACAGACTGGGTTTTTTTTTTTTTATACCACTCCAATTTCAAAGGAACGCCCCTAATTTGTCTCTCTTTACGACATGTTTGTGTGGGGCAGTGAGTATATTCTTTTCCCTTTTTAATTCGGTCCACGGACGCCACAAGCGAAAAGAAGGCTTGAAAAAGGGCGGGAGACGGTTGGGGGAGGGGGGATGAAACAAAGACCACAACCACTGTGGCCTACCTCTCACGGTTTGCCGGTCGAAACGTTGGTCATATTTCCTAGATTTACGGTATCTAACATGGAGTCAAGGTCGAAGGGTTGCGATATCCATAGTACCGAGCCGAAGGGTTGCGATATCCATAGTACCGAGCCGAAGGGTTGCGATATCCATAGTACCGAGCCGAAGGGTTGCGATATCCATAGTACCGAACCAAAGGGTTGCGATATCGCAGTACCGAGCATGCGTTATCTGAAACCCCCCCCCGCAGCTTGGTTCCCCCCCCCCACCGCCCCCCCCCCATAGACCAGTCCACTCTAGATGGATCATATGGCCAATATTGCGCTGGCAATAATTAATTCCCAAAGAGTACCCATTGTAAGCGGGGTCTACCTTGGAACCCGTGTGAGTTTTAATAAGACGCTTTAAAGGTTATGTTATTTATATGAGTGTGGTGTTCAGGTCGGCTCTGTGGCTAAAGTCGATGCGAGCACTTCGTAATGCCGGGGTACCGGGTTCGATCCCAGCTGCGGGCCATGCGCCTTGTGTTGGTTTCGACAGTGGTATCAGGGAGCCGACCGTCCAGTACAATGGCAAACTACTGGACGTAAATTTGCCTAGAGAAACCACACAACAGCCAGGGGCAGCTGCGGTTGGTTCTGCAAAGTCCTGTAAAGGATACGCAACTAACCTGTAGTGTTCAGGCGGGTCGCATTCTCACTGTGGATCAACCTGTGGGTCTCTCCCCCTATTCTGAGACAAAAAGAACTGACCCACTTCATTATATTAGGCATGTTGTAAAAAGCCATTATTTAAGAGCTTACTGAGATAAATGTGTTGGGCTAAAAGGTAAAGAAATCGCAGCCTACCGTTTAACCATAATTTTGTGTGCCAACTGCTTTTCTTAGCTAAGGATAAACAAAGAAGAAGAAGAAGAAGAAGAATAAGAAGCAAAAGAAATGGCCGAGCCTCACACGATAAACAGCGTGATAACCGTTGGTTTTAAATGATTTACAATGACAGGCGCCATGCAACAAAAAAAGCGCCGTTAAGACAGACACAGCGTTATCTATGTCGTGTAACCGTATTTCAATAGTAAGGACTTATCTCCGGTTTTCTGGTAAGATTGAGAACTACTGTTGCAATTCTGGTACTATCAAATCTCCAGTGTGTTTCTTTTTGACCTGTCAGTGGTGACTAACGTTTTAATCTCTTCTTTTATTTCCACAGGTGGGTCATACAAAGCGAACTGACATGTCTCGTAGTACCACAGCACTTGATTCACGACTGCCAGGGCAATGAATGGTCGGACTGAGTTGCTGGTAATCTGCTGAACATTTTCACTTAAGGCAGTTGGTTGGTACGAGCAAAAAAGGACATTAATTTTTCAGCTGAGCTTATTGGAATATTAAAATAACACATATAAACTGTAAAGACAAGATTATACTCAAACAGAGATCAAAGAAGAGAGGCTTTCACAAATGTCGCACAGATTTGGCAAAAGAAGACATTGCTTTTGACATTTACTGGGTTCATTCGCGCCTGCGCAACGTCGGCTCTGATATGTCTGCAATACCACCACCGCCACCACCACCACCTCCAGGTGCTGGAGGCGGACCTCCTCCACCACCTCCACCGCCGGGGAAATTTTCTTATGAGCAACCTTTGTCATCCTTACCGCAGATCAACGTCCCTAAGCCCAAATCCAAAATGAAAACTCTACAGTGGCAGAAGATCCCTGTAAACAACGTCATTGGTAAGCCCAACATTTGGACCATCATTGGTCACTTGGAGAAGACGTACGAAATGGACTATGGAAAAATGGATGAGCTGTTTAGCTTAAACCACGACTCCGGAGTCAAAAGAAGTAGCCAGGATAGCGAGGGAGTCAACGACCATAAGAAGAAAAGGGAAAACGTGGAGGTAAGAATTCTTTATTACATTTTCTTTGCTTTTATACTGCTTCTTTTGAAAGCTTGATTTTTAGGAGACAGTTTGACTGCTTTAACTGGATCACTATGGACAAGGGCTTGAATATATGTACTTAAAGCAGCAGTCAACAGTTCGTAATAGAAATTATCATCATACTTTAGGAAGTCCTTTGCAAACAACATTTTTATGACGCTCTGCCACGAATCCTCATATGTCTTTGATAATTCCCTGCTTGCTTGTTTCCTAATGTCCAGTTTGTCTCAGTTGTCCCGTGGCCACCTTTATGCTGGTAAACACCTGCCTCTTTTCCTTACAACACCTACGCTTTCCACGACTGCTCTTTCTAAACCACTGTGACTTTTAGTGTCTCAAGAATATGTACGTTAGTGACATATGTTGATGTTTTTGAGACAGAAGAGGAGCGGCTGGCCAAACGGCTAAGGACACTGGGCCCTCATGTAGAAGACCCAGGTTTGAGTCTGTGGTAAGGTCATGGTTTGTTTTTTTTTTTTTCAAATGGGGAAAAAGTCGCAACCTGCACAGTCAGTGGAGACTGCATTAGACATGTGGCCCTAAATCCTCAGGCTCAAAGACCCTGTACATACCACGTAGAAGTGGTAAGAGACAGTTTCCTTCATTGTTCATAAGGTTTGAAATGTCGCTGTTTTGATAATTGCCCTGTTCCAAAGCTGTACAGTACACCGGGAGATGTGGAATTCATGATAGCTTTCATCAAGGCTACTGGCCTCCTGGTACTATATAAGTTTTATGACATAAGAATCAAAGATGAAAATCGAAGAACTTTTACCAACTGTTCAGAATGTTGCTGCCAATTTTCAGTTCTTTAGTTTATATTATTCCCCCTGTCTCCCTCCCCCCCCCCCCCCCCCCGCCATCCCCGATATTACCAGAGTTTATCCTCGGAAAAAAAATCTGGAACAAGTCTCAAGTTCAAAAAATTGAGCCTTCAAGAGGATTATGTTTAAAAAAACATTATTTATTTTACCAAATATGATTTGAAAATATATTTATATCATCCATATATATTATTTATTACTACGACTACCACTACTGATTCTACACACATACATCAGCGACCAGGTCGCCCATTGGTTCGCTGGTAGAAGACTTCGTCGCCGGTCGGGACAGTATTTTGGTCTGTCTCCTTTGATCTCATGGACACTGCAGGGGTCCTTTTCAGGGCTCTTGGTGGTGTGCAATGCCAAGCCATTTTTTTAGGGCGCACATAACCTAGTCACAATTATAACCTAATCATTCGCGGATGCTGGTTAACGTGACGACCCCTCCTCCCTCTTCAGCAAAGCACCAAAGCAAGCAAGTGCTTCTATACTGATTGCTGCTATCGTGACTGCTACGCTAATGCTGAAGCTGCCACTACTTCTAAGCCAGTACCTTGTTGTTTGACTTTTTCCTTGTCCTCACAGCTCATTACATACGACTCCTACATGGGGACTGTGAGGTTTGAGGTTTTGAACAACGGATCATCATCATGGCACACGGGTAGTAACCCATAAGTGCTCCGTTCTACTTCTAACTCAAGTCTGAGTCCGAAGTACCTCAGCGCCGTACACAGGCTCCGTGCGAGGATGCTGAAGTATCTGGGTAGATTTTTAACTCCAAATTTTGCCCGGGCTACTCTTTTCGATTTCCAAGTGCCAAGGAATTTTTTTTTCGTGCGCAACAATGCACACGGGCGTCCGATCTTACTACCCAGCGACCATGGGGGATTACTAGAAGTCCGCGTGAATAGAAAAAATCCCAGCCTTTACCAGGGCTTGAACCCGGGACCTCTAGCACTCGAGGCGGACACCATACCTCGAGACAACGCAGCCCCCTTTGGGGGAATGTGATTAATTGTTGAAATCCTAATGCTGCCTTAAATGGGCACCAGGACATGTTTTGGAAATAAAAGGTACCCGTTGTGATATTGACCTCATCACAGGTCGAGTGTCGAATAGTCACTGAAAATCGCAAGCAGCACAGTATACCAAAAAGCACCTCAAGGCGAATAAACGAATCTTGTTCTTGCTTACCCAAAACTTTCTGTTCCTTTCATTCTCAATCAATTAGGTGCCGTCTCCACAATAAAAGTTGGCTCAATGGATCTCTAACACGCTCCGTCTCTTGTCTTGTCTCTACTCCATTCCCTGATGTTGTCCTCCTCCTTGTTTTGTTGTCTTTCTGTTGCCCTCGACCTTTCCCTCTAATACGATTTTTAAAAGCGTATTATGTTTTCTAATGGGGTCATAATAATTCAGTTGTCTCTCTCTTGATTTTTTTTTTTTTGGGGGGGGGGTGGGGGACGTTCGGAAAAGGGGGGGGGGGGGTTGGTTTATTAATATCCTACCCCAGATGACGTGACAAGACAGTCGAACATTTTAGAAGGTGGTAAGACTGGGTTTCTCGGTTTTCTGGTGCTTTTAACGACCCCAAAACATCTAGAACTGGCCCTAACCCCAATCCAACTACGTACCACGAGAGAGTGCAGCCTAGGTTTCACGACTATATGCAGCCTAGGTCCAACGACTGCATGCAGCTTATCTACCACCCCCTGAAATATTAGACTGTCCCGTGACCTATGGATTTCCCCTGTTTTTGATAGGATATTAATAAAGTACCTTTTTTTTTAAATTAAACTCCTTTCGGTAACTCTCCTGTTATTTTTCTCTCTTCATTTATCTATCTTTGTGTTTGATTTCTATTCTTCCTTTAATACGTTCTTGTTCTAGGCGATGGACAGGCTGAATGTCGGCGAAGTAAGTACAACAATATCCATATATACACGCACACCCTGTTGTATAACCATTGGTAGTAGACACCTAATCCCCGTAGCAGATCTACCTGTTTGTGATACATCCGAACTTCTTCTACTGTGCTGCTAGTGGTACTGCTGCTGCTGCAGTTACTACTACTTCTGTTACTACGATTACTACTACTGCTGCTGCTGTTGCTGCTGCTGCTGCTACTACTACTACTACTACTACTACTACTACTACTACTACTTCTACTACTACTATCACTGATGCTGCTGCTGATAGATACTATTACTACTACTACTACCTTTACTACCACTACTACTTCTGCTGTTGTTACTACTACTACTATTTACGCCACCTTCACTGTTACTACTATTAGTACTATCAGAATCACCTCTACTATTTTAACTGTCACTGTGCCTACTTTATTCTTCATATACCACATCATATGCTACTGCCACTACTACTGTTACAGTAACAATCTATTAAACTTATTACTGTTGTTTCTGCTACTACTACTACTGATACTAGTATTGCTACTGTTAATGCTACTACTGTTGATGCTGCTACTGCTCTACTACTTCTACTGCTGCTGTTTTGATACTTTTGCTACTGTTACTGCTACTATTCTATTACTTCTACTGTTACTGCTACTACTACTTCTTCTCAGGATGGTACACCATCTTCCTTGACCGCCTTTTCTGTGATAGCACCTTCTGTATTTCCATATTTTCTGCTATTCTACCCACCTTAACCTGAACTAATATAATGATTAAAATCTTTCAGCTTTTAACTAACGCCCTTACATGTATCATTACATACTATACCTTCTGCCTTCTATAGATCTTACCCTAGTGGTATGTAACCACGCAGCTTTCTATATCATGTAAGCGTTCAGTCGCTACTTTAAATTTCTTTAGACGCTAAACCTCCGCAAGTAATCGAATGTTTATTTACCTCTGTATCAACCACTTTGGAAGTAACATTTTATCCCCTTATAACATTTTTTTAAAATATGTTTTCTTACTGCTGTAATTTTCAAACCCAGTTGTGTATATATTAAAGTTAGTTGCGTATCCTTTACAGGAAGTTGCAGAAACAACTCGAGCATATTTTGGCTGTTTTGGTATTTTGTTGGCAAATATTACGTTCAATAGTTTGCCATTGCCACTAAACGGTCAGCTCTCGGTACCACTGTCGAAACCAGCGCAAGACAGATCGTCCGCAGCTGGGATCGAACCCGGCACACCGGCATTACGAAGCTCGTTCGCAACGCCTAAGCCACACATATATATAGTCACTTTATATTAAAATGGTGAATACTGTAGATTCACAGCTAACTGCGTAATTCAACATTCGCTAGTTGCATATATTTTTTTAGAATATTGCAACTCAGTCTTAGCATTTATTGTTGTTTTATTATGGCACCACAACATCTAGCATGAGAATGGAGGTGGAGGTGGTAACTGCAGCTCTCCGGTGTCTAGAGAACAAAATGCATACACATGTCGTAATTGTAACAGACTCTGAAAGCATACTAAAAAAAGGTTAACACTTAGAGCAGAGTGGCGAGCTTTGGAAAGGTCACGGGTAGTGAGCATACTTTGGATCTTTTCTCCAGGCGATGCCGGTGTGGTGGGAAAGAGAAGGCAGACAGATTGGCTGGATCTGCACCCCTGGGTGGTGAATTGATACATGCCAAGATAGATGTGGTCAAGGCCCTTTGGGAACAAGCAACGGAATCAGTAAAGAAAGATGATTATTATGGCCTGAAAAGAATGAGGCATCTGGGTATGACCAGAGGGTCTGGCAGGCTTACTACACTCAGAGGAAAGGCAAGACGGACATATAAACAAATTGTGACTGGTACCATCAGTATTGGAACTCTGCGCTGGCTGCTGAAGGTGAGGTGAGGACGGAGCATCCATGGAAATGCCCCGAGTTCTGTGATGTCAATTTTTTACTCAACTCAACTCTCAACTATGAAATTTTATGTTCACTGCTTTCTCATAGCCCCTGAACGGAACGATACTGATGCCGTTGGCAAGATGGCTATATCTTGCACCAGCCACGAAGCTCATAAGCTCTAGCGATGACATCCGGACTCACGTACTGAAGAACTACGTTTATATCCAGTCCTACTACACTGAGAGCAAACAGTTTAACCACTTTAAACAGAGATTACCCACACCTTGACCTCTCTGCGTTTTAGAG